GCTGCTGTTGAAACAGCTGTTTATTTATACCTCCTCCTCTGTCGAAGGAGAGAGACGATAGTATTTAACTTAGCAAGAAAAGCTAAGATAGCATATTTTTAGCAACAAAGCTAAAGGTCCGAGGACACTTCAGGTGTTCTTCTTCGTGTAGCATTAGAGGCTACTTTGAGTACATTTACAGTCTACGTTTGAGATTTATCACCCCCTGGTGGTACCTGTGTGTGGTAACCTGACCACACCCCCTGTGAGACCAGCTAGTAGCTTGTACTTAAGCACCATATGCTGGCTGTTTTAGGCTGTTGCTTTGACATTAGGTTTGGAACTTAGTTGTTGTCTAGACTAGAGTGAATACATTTGGACACTGTCTCCAATCTCATGATTGTTTTGGTTAGTTTTAAAATATATTAAATCGTCTCCCCTATTAAATTCCCTGAAATACTGACACAGCTTTCTCATCACCTAAAGATTTAAAATTAAAACAGAAGAATTTACTAAGTAAATTGACCAGTCTTCCTTCTAGAATAGGAATTGATTTATTTTATGGATTGAACCTAAATTTACATTAAACCTCATTTGCCTTATCACACCCTTTATTGAACATAAAGGATTTTTAGGTCTCAATTTCGATCCTGTATTACATTTAACAGTGTAATACTGACTTGAAAATTATCATTATTGTTATTTTTCATAGCTTTTATTTTGAATAACAATCCAAATTGTCTGCTGTGTGTTTGCAATTAATTCCAGATTTAATTCAAACATTACAGCAACCGAAACGTGATTCACATTGGTAACACTCAATTGTGATCTTAACTCAAATTTATTTTTCTATCACAGATTTTATTTGAATTTCTACAGAGATTCAAATCCAACTTCGATTTTAATTCAAGTTTTAGTTCACTCCAAAATCCTTTCAATAAACTTGATTTCAACATTTAGTCTGCTACAATTTAGGTGATAACTTATTAATTTGCAGCTAAATTATTTTCACTAAATTTTATCCTGCTCTCAAGAACTTCTGCTAGTTTTAACTAGTACTTCCCTTCTCAGATTAGAATTTGAGCTCAATCTCATTAACCAAATCAACTCATTAGTTTTATTATCAATTTTAATTTCAGATTTTGAATTTTGAATTTCAAATTTTAAATTTTGATTTTAATCTTAAATCTTAATTTTGGTTTCAAATTTTTTTTTTTTCTCTTCTTTTGGTTTTGTTTGATCAGTTAACAGAAGCCAGAGATGGAGACCTCTGCCCACTCAGCGCAGGTTGGTGTAGCTGACCCAGTAGAACAGTTGAAATCTGTTTTGGTGGACATGATGCCGAGTCTTATTGTAGCGGTTTTAACCCAAACTCTGAAAGACAAAGATTTAACTGATGTACTAGGGCGAATGGCCATAGACAGGCCCGCCAAGAAAAGTTCACGTGTAAGCTGTTAGAACGAGTAACAGAACAACAAGAAAGCCATCAACAGATAGTGGCACAACTTCAGCAGGAGAATAACGCACTCCAGCTGCAACTTAGAGAGACAGACCAGTCCCTAAGCAAGGCAGAAAGGCTCATCGCAGAGCTTCAAAATGCTAGTAATCCTTCTGAAAAAGAAGAGAAGGAAGATAGGGAGGAGCTAGGAAAGGCCCTTCAAGAGAAACGAGACGAGTTGGAATCGATCAAAGATCAACTCGCGGCAACTGCCGAAATGGACGTCGACGATGGGGTGATCAAAAACACACCTCCTGTAGTCGAACTGTCCCCGAGCGAATCACTCTCTCAGCAAGAGAACTTTCTGTGTGCATTTACTAACCCCACTGAGACAAATGAACACTGTCCATTAGTGAAACAAGGAATCAATCTTGACGGCACACCTGTTAAAGAAGTGGCCTTAGCCCTGTGGGCTAATCAGACAGCCATTAGCAGAGAGTTATTCAACTCTTTGATGGAAGCTAACCCTGACATCATGTTTTATCCAGGTACCACACACTTTCCTCTATTGCCCCATTCACAGGTAAACATGACTTCTGAGGGCGTACGTGCCTTAAAGGTGTGGTGGAATCACCAGGAGCTAACCCATTGCTTCCTCGTTATCCCCAACCTTCCGCATCCAGCTTACATAGGCAGTGACCTACTCATCAGGATGAATGTACAAGTCGACAGCATTAACAAGATGCTGTGGTCCCTCAAGACTGTCGGTAATGACGCGGCTCCAGACACTGACAACCCAAAATCAGGACAATCCATTCCTGAGGCATGTCAGGTGGTCAACGAACTTAGTGTGGTCATACCTGCCAACACGGCAGAGATGTACATAAGATTGAACATCCAACCAGGGCAACGCCGCCCACACTCACAGTTGATCTTTCAACCATCGCTTCTATTTTTCATTCAAGCCACTCCCTTGATGGATCTCCGCTCCAGATCCACACACCTGCTGGTACAAAACAAAACCCGGCAGGACATCCTGATCCCTAAATCCACCCCACTGGGCTGGTTGATCAGTACAGAATTCCATGACTTACAGTTAAGAATTCCAGTGATAGGGGATATTCCTCTACAGGTGCTTTCAGGCAATGAAAATGTACATGTGGTACATACAGCACCATCAGAGATTATAACACTCTTCCCTGCTGCGACTCTAACCCAAGAAGTGGTTTGTCGAGTCGATTTCACTGACTGTACACAAATGCACTGCATGGCCATGCTCCAAGACAGAGCCTCCAGACTCTACTTCAGGCGCACCTGCAGCAGATCCTGCTGTCACTTTCTCAGACCCCAACTTTATCCAAGCAGGGGACTCCTTCTATTTGTGCCATGACCTTGTTCCTTTCAGATCCTTCTAAACATTAATAATTTAAATACGCTACAATTGATTGATGTAATATTTCTTTATTGTCTTCATTCTGAAACTTTGAGGGTGCAGACTCGGCCCGGCTCTCTTTAAAAAAAGATCTTGTATCTCAAAGAGAATATTTTCCTGGTAAAATAAAGTCAAATAAAAAAATCTTGTGTCCAGACCATTAAATTCTTGAAGGAACCACAGATCTGTCACTTTATCTTGCCATTTTCTGCACATACTGTCCTTGCATAGTTAACTTCATCATTCATTTTGTACTTGTAGCCCCTATTTTTATTTATCTTAACTAATCTATTCTGTTTAATGTGTATTTTGTATTTTGACCTTAATTGTCTGTGCTGTTGCAAAGCCCGAATTTCCCCTCTGGGTATCAATAAAGTATTATCCTATTCTATCACGACTGGCTAAGGTGCTTCGGTCAAAGAAGCTGTGCGACAGCAGAGCAGCCGACATCTCACACGCTCCAACAGTCTTATAGCACGTAGCATGTTGGCAGCATTGTCAGTGACCATTGAAGGTTCTTCTCGTTCAACATTCATTCATTGCTTCTGTTAACAAGTCCGCCATATTGCTTCCTGTGTGACGTCTGCATAACTCCGGTCTGTACAACATTTGACACTGATTACCACTTATGATGGTTAAATAGGGGTCGGTCACTCTGGAGTTCCAACCATCGCACGCAAGTGCCGCTCTCTCTGTCGACTTTTTATTTTTTTAATATTTAATGATAAGAGACATAAGAGGCTAGCTAACAGGACAGAGGAGAATACTTTGGGTGACACGGGATGGCAGCAACAGTAAGAGAGAAATAATGAATAAATAATAAATAAAAGCAAAAAGGCAAACAAAGAACAGACAATCATCTGGATGTGGTAGTTATTAAAAAAAAGATAAGAAATAATAATAATAGTAAAGGGAGCTAAATTGAGCATGAAAATAAAAGAAGTCCTCGATGGTGAATATGATGTGAGTATAACGGGGAAGAGAGAGGAAATAAGTATAAGTAATAATAATAATAAAGTGGTGGCTAGTAGGGCGGGTTTAAAAAATGTATTCATAAATGCATTGCAGTTATTATTTCTCCAATTCAAATTTGATTCAGGGAAATCCTGACATCTATTTTTTTGTTGTTGTAATGACGCAGAAGTGGGGCTTCATTAAAACGGAAATTATTGATTATTGAAGATTTTTCTGGATCAATATTGAATCAGAATAAATATATTGCAATGCATTGATGTTTTTACTCAGCCCTAGTTAGTTGACCAGACACAGAACGTCTTCACCCTACCATATCATTTCTTCTGCTGTGAAAACGGGCACGTTGATGGGTGTGTATGGCACTTTGGGCCTTTTGGAGCCAGCTCCGAGTGGACACCTGAGGTACTACAGTTTGCACTTTGGCTTCATGGTTCAACAGGTTTAAAAATACAATGTTTTGAGTTTTTTTTTTTGTTGAACATTCCACATTAACTATGAGCGTCAAGGACAAACGCTCCAATAAAAGCCATCTATTGGCTGAGCGACATGTTGACTTCCATGCAGATATCTGTATCCAACTTTTAATATTAATTACCATGACCACGTATGCATCCTGAAACAAACACGACCACAACATCTGGGTGACATCAGCTCTGACATCCTGTCTAATAAAAAGCCATCGAACTGTTTCACACTCAGTCGGTGAGCGAGGAGGCTGAAGTGAAACATCCAGGTGAGGAACTATTCCATACTCACATTAATGCAACGTCTTATTGTGAAGTCTGTGCTTTTTTAAAACACAGTGAAGGACATCTGCATGTGATGCCCAACACTGAACTTTATTTACCAAAGTTTAGTCTCTTTTAAATTCAACATGTCGCTGAAACAATCAGACAGTAAACACTTCATGTTTTCATTGGATTTAAAGGATTTCATGTGATTTGACATTCTTAGATTTGTGTCTACTGTGTGGTTATTTAACTGTTAACCATTTAGGCTTTGAACTTTTCTGTGTGTTAAAGCATGTTAACAATGTAAAACTATCACAGCCATCATTGGACGGTTCTGATCAGCTGATTAGTCGTATATTCTAACTGTGGATTTTCAGTGACTCTGACCTACACATGTTCATGTTCTTCCTGTAACACAGACGTGCACAATCCTCACATTAACTCCATGAACTCTTCTGGCTTCAACATGTCGAGCGACCAGAGATATCGAGACTCGTTCCAAACTGCTGTGGTCAAAAATGTGATTCTTCTGGCTGTTGGTCTGACAATCAGCTACATCAATGGGACCCTGATTCACACCTTCAGAAAACACCAGGTGAGAACGATTCTTTATTTTTTAAAGTTATTATTGCTGATGTTATTGCAGAGATGATTTTATTTCATTCAATCTTTCACTGCAAAAACTCAAAATCTTACCAAGTATATTCTTCTAATTTCTAGTCAAAATATCTCATCACACTTATATAAGACACAATTACCTAAACGGTAACATTTCAGTAAGATATTTGAACTTGTTTCTAGACGGATCATCTTGAAAACATCTTGATTTGAGTCAGATCTCAGATGAAACAAGCTTTTATTGACATGTCATAAGGTTTTTAAGCTGCTGAGTTATTTGTTTAAGATAAATCATCTTTGTTTCAAGAAACCGACTTTGCTTGAATTAAGATTAAGAAACAAATTGCTTTATTTAAGTCTGCAGGTCAACAACTCACACATTGCATGATGACTTATCCTAAGTACAGTGTGGCCATTTCCATCAAACCATGTCCATGTGATATGGAAAAAAAGACAGAGGCAAAAGCTGGAATTACGTTTCCTTTTCTGTTCTGTTGCACTCTGAACAAACTACACCAGATTATTCAAAAATGCTTAAAAACACCCACACTCTCTACAGACTCAAGAATGATGTTTGATGATGTCTGTGAGATCATACTTCACTGGAATGTACTTGTTATTATTGAAGTTTACATAGTAGTATGGTGTATAATCAACAAGACTTTTAGCATCCACAAAAATATTGGCTTGAGCTAGGTAAGGAACTTCTACCTCGTAAGCTGAATAATGATCATTCCACCCAGCTGTAGAGAAAGGTTGGCATTCAAAACAATACACTGACGCATTTACAATATAGATGTTTTTCACAAGTGCAAACTCTGGTGTATCAGTGATGACATTAGAAATAACCAAAGATTTTTCACATGTATGCTTATTTCCATGTTGCATAATCCACTTTACTGAAACTAAATGTTCAATTTGCTCTATTCCTAAAAAGTCTTGAATCTTTCCTTCAACATAGTGAACATTTTTCACCTCAGAGGCTGGGCCCATGTCAACTTCACTTGAAAAAATAGGATGTTTCTCATGCACATTCTGACTACATTCATAAAGTTGGTTGTGCTTCAGAAGAGATTTACAAATATTCTTAAAACTACTTTTCAAAGCCCACTGCTTAAAAAAAACAATGCTTTGACTCAAAGCGCATACACATATGCCTCACTGCAGGACCAAGTGCCTTAATCTGAGAAGGAAGATGCAGCAAGTAATGCTGTTTAGGAATGATATTTGCATCCGGAAACAGTTGTCTGAAATGTTTTAAGTGTTGTTCTATTAAAAGCTTGTTTTTAGACAGTCTTTCAGAAAGTCAGTAGTTGCCTTTTCAATGTCATTACATTGCATGTTATGACTTGCCATTGTCCTTTTAACAAACATATCTTCATTAAATTGTTTCTGCATGTCTTCAAAGTTGCATTCGCAGTGCCTGCATTTACTGTAGGCAAACCCTACTCCTTCCTTAAATCCAGCCACTTCGTGTTGAGCTAGAGTGTCTCCGCACACAGACATAAGTGCCCCATAAATTGTCCTCTCACCTTTTGCAGTGACATCCTGGACAATCAGACAGCTCAGTTAAGTCACAGTTAATCCTCTCAAATATCTCATCAATACCACAACGGGAAAGATCTTTTGATTTTACCATGGCAAGCAATCGGATGGCAGCAAGTCTTGATCTGTATTTAGGGTTGATATTACCTAAGGTGTAATAAATCAGTAACAACCTGTTTTTTGTTCGCCCGAGATCCAAAAGGATTGCATAGCTCAATTTCATCTGTATATAAAATCAACTGCAATGCTGTGGGAACTTTCAAAAACAGTGGATGCGACTTAAAAATCTTGAAAAAATCCATCCTTGCATGGCTGTGGCCTCTCGTCAATCATTGCAAGAATTCTTGGATGTAATAGCAGCTGCTCCAAACTTTTCACCAATGGTATATAATGAAAACAATGGTCCTTAATGGTTAGAACTCTGAAGTCTCCACGTTTCATATAACATACTGTTTGTTTTGCGACAACAATCTCGGGTTCAACTGGTTGTAACAGTTCTTTGATGGTCTTATCCTGCAAATGGTGGAAGCAATTTGACTGAAAGGGTCCACAAACTGGTCAAATACTCCAATGGCCTCACTCTTTAGTTGATCCAGGTCCCCAGAATGTCTCTCAATCATATTACTCATTTGCTGTTTTAGGTGCTCCAATAATGCAGCCTGATATTGCTGGACTCCACTCACCATTTGGTTAACAGCTCTCTGGGAAGGACAAAAAAAAACCTTCCATTCAATATTGTTAGTGACATGCAATGATCAAACTAAGTTACGTCCACCAAAACTATAATTAAATAATATTGCCTTCTGCAGCTTTTAACGTACAATATGTAAAATTTGATGACAATGTTTACATTAAAATATGTAAATTCATTAGAAATTGGCTGAAGACACATTCTTAAGTCAGGTGTTTAACTGACATACCTTAAGCTGTCCACTTGTGATTGGATCAGCCAAGATGCCAGGTCTAAACAGTGCCTAAGTCATTCTACAGTTAAAGTGCATCGCTTTTAAGCTTGCTACTAACAATTCATTGGAATTGGCTTAAATTGCTTAAATTAAATTAAATAATTTGAATGGCTTAAATTACCTGTGTCAGTCGATGGGTTTCTCTGGCTTGAAGAAGAAATGCAGTTGCATGTTTAGAAAGGTCAACATTCATGTGACCCTCACCATCTTCTTGAAATCCACTCTGAAACACATTAACAACAAACATATTTATTAAATGAAAATATTGGCATTGGTTGGTAGCTACACCAGACAATCTGACAGTAACTACCTGGGTAAGATAGATTTCTCCCTATAAAGGTACAAGATGGGTGTATTTTTACTGACTCATGTCATTATTTCAAACATGTAAAATCACAACTAAAATGGCAAATAAAATAAAACAGTACTTGAAAACAGATGAACAAGAAAAGAAAAAAGGGGAAAAAATAAAGCGAAAGGAAGAAAGGACATAGACATTTTTTATTTAATGCAGGAAAGGGAGTAGGAAAAAGGATACACTTATTTAATCCTACCCTTTTATACACTAGCTAGTTATTATCCTGAGCCTGTTTTATAATCATCTGTATATTATTTTATCTTCTTTAAATACATCTAATCGATATACATTAAACTATACATGTAAAACTGTTACAGTCATCTCTAAAAAAGTTATGACAGCTATTTAATTTTAGTGTACCTAAATTTATTTTTCTTGAAGTTACATTTGAACACATCATGATGACACTTTATATACCTTTGCCTAATAGTCATTTTACTGAGCCCACTTTGAACGCATCATTAGTAATGCTAATCACTCCTCCAGTTAGCTAACTAGCTTTTACCCTGCTGATTTCAACAATCAACACCTATTTCAATATTGGATAACTGTTCACTAAGTTTGGATGCATTTACAACAGCGGATGGATGAGTAAAAGACTGTCTGACCGGACTGCAGTTTTGTGTCTCTACCTCCTGCTGCATCTCTCATCCACTTTTCAACCAAGGTGAGTTAATCTGAGCCTCATACTGTGTGTTTGAAATCAAATGTAGGTTATGCGCTTCATTCATTGCGGAGCTGTGACCTAATGTCAAGTGACATTAGGTCACAAGTTCGATTTGGAGGGTGAGGAGTTGTAGGATGCGTTTGATGTGGTATTTAAGTCATCAGCAGCACATTGAGCTAAAAGCACATTGTGTCAAAAAAAGGGAATAATGGAGTGAGCATGTTATCAAGGACTAGTCCTCCATGTCTGACCTAAGCATATTCATGGCGTCATAACGCATATACATCTGTTTGCAAGAGTGTTTCACATTTTTATAACTAATGAACAATAATTTCTCCTTAATAAATAAATACTGGTTTATAGATGAATTGATAGGTGTTCATATAGTTGATTTCAGTTCAGTTGGTTGAGATATTCAACCTCTGAAATGGAACAGATCGTTTAGTTATACTTGTGCAGAGCTGACACTGCTACATTGCAATTTGTGTTATCACAGGGGGAAAAAGAAAAGTTGCCTTTTGCAGTAGTTCTTTATCTTTTATTTTACAGGAAACTGGCCAAGAAGACTCCAAATTACCGGCAGTTCCTCCATTAATGAATCACCCATGCGACAGACATCCAGTCCTGTGAGTGCAACTCCTGCAAAGTACGCAACCCCTGAAAAGGTTGTGAAGGTATCCTTTCCAGAATATGTATTGCACACCGACACCGAACTTGAGCAAGTCAGACAGCAATACTTTGAGTTGTCGAAGAAAGGTGAAGAGCGATGGAGAATCACACAGATATCCATCAAAACCAGAAATTACAGCAATGGCAAAGAGAATAGCACCCCATGCTGCAGGATGAAGGCATCAAGAATACATGGGTAAGTGAAGTGCATCCAGTTGATGACCAAAGTGCTTCATGTCAAGACATTTTTATTAGCGATTTGAAAAATGTATTAAATGTCTTGTGCATGTTACTGTGTATGCACAGCTATATAAAAGTTTGTAAAATGTGAGCTCCCCCCAAAAAAACACTACTGGGAGACAGTCAAAGAGGTAAGGCTGCAACTAATTATTTTCATTGAAGATAAATCTGTTAATAATTTTTCAAGATTAATTGATCAGTTGTTTTATCAATAAAATGTAAGAAAGTTGTGAAAGCCCAAGGTTACGTCCTCAAATGTCTTGTTTTGTCCACAACCTATAGATATTCATTTCACGGTCATAGAGGACTAAACAAACTAGAAAATATTCACATTTCAGAAGATGAAATATAATTGGACAGTAATTTACACAAAAAAGAAAGGAATGACTCAAAATGATCAACTATGTCAAAGTACTAGGTGACTGAGTGTTCTGCCTCTAGTGATTCCTTACTTGCGATAGTGTTGTTCAGTTCCAGTATTTAATGAGTGCTCCTGTTTTAGTGTTTTATAGGACTACAAAGTGATTGCTTTC